AAAAAAAAAGAATATTTATGGTAAAATAGGCAGTGATGATGATGGGATGATGGGGATGGAAGAGACAGACTTCATCAAAACCATAATATGTAACTGCACAAAACTGGCATCAATCTTAGAGCTGGTTGTCTCCAAACCTGCAGGGAAGTGTGACTAGAAGGCAGAGAACAGGGTTTTTTACAGAGTTAGAGACCTTGAAAGTTTTAGGTGATTTTTATGTAACTTAAAAAAAAAAAAATCAAGATGCTGGTATAATCCTATTAAAAAGTGTTTAGAGCTCTCACAAATCCACAAATCTGTCAAGAATTTATGGGCTTAGGCTTGCAAACACTTATTACCATCTGCACCGCTTACCCTTCATGGAAGGAGCTATTTAGTACTAGGAGTTATAAAGCTGCCCTTATGCTTTTTAACAGACAAAAAATACTACCACTTTTAGCTGAAAAACAGCCTTTCTGAAAAGTAGAGGGAGGAATCAATTTTAAAACAATCCATGAATTGATCATGCATTCCAATATACTTTTTAAAAAATGAGAAGGGTAGGGGGGAAGAAAAGGTAATGTAGGCAGAAAAAAGAAAACAAACAAAATACACAACTATAGAGTGTAGAATAATTCATTTAACCCCACTTCAGAGTAAGACTTTCAAAAATAGAATGCTTTTGGTTTTGCCAGTCCTCCTCTGAAGCTAGGATATGTCATTCTTCCACTTTCCAGTACACTCTCACACAGAGAAGCACAAGACACGAAAAAAAGGAGAGGAAAGGAGAGGAGCCCTACAAGGGGGATTTTAAATTTTGTTTTAAAAAATGAAATTCAAAATGACCAGCAAGCCAAACAACATTTCCAGATGCTGGTAAAGTGAAGGAAAGACTTTTTTTTCACAGAACTCTACTGTTATCCTCAAATTCTAACCCATACTAGTCCCAGTCAGGAAGCTTCTTCCAAGTGGGAATTACCCCCAGCAGTTTTGGTATCGCTAAGGGAAGAGCCTGTTGTCACTACCAGATTGGGGTCCTGAGACTTTCCACACAGTGCTTGTGTGCAATGTGTGGCTGTAGCTCAGCAGGTCACACAGACATTTCTACAAACTCTACTACTACAGGTTTCCACCCACGTAGGAACCTACATAGTTATCCCGTGCGGACCAGCCCGGGTACAGCTGCATGTGAAGCTGTCGCTCCTTTCTTGCTAGTTCGTAGTATTTCGCTTGCTCTTCTCTGGATAACGCGTGCCACTGGGGTGGAGAAAAGACAAAAAGACAAAATAAAAAGCACTAGTGTTGGGGTTTTTTTAAGCACGTTAACAGCAAAGTGTGTTATTTATACGTGTAAGTACAGTTAGAATCGATTTTCATAAAAAAGAGATAAAAACAGATGATCTGGCATGCTGACATTCATATTTTATTTACAACTCTAGATTATAACTGCAGTTAAATCAACTGAACCACAACTAATCATTTATGTGCACTCAACCCCTTTGTCTCCTGTTGAGAGAGGAGAATTAAGAAATCTAAACAAAAACAGACAGGAGGGGAGATGGTCCAGAAGTTGAACCACTTGTCCTGAGCCAGAACTCAGTTACAGATTTGGAGGCGTCTCCCCCACTGGTACTTCCTCACCTCTTCTAGCTTTTACAGGTGCTGATACTGGTACTGTGCTCAAAGGTTTTTCATTTCCCATTTACTTTTCTGCCTATCTTGGGGCGAAGTAAGAATCTAAGATTTTTCATCAACCAGTCATGGAAATGATACTGAAATAACACTGCTATTAATTAACTCTTCCCCATTAATGACCCCACCGGCAAGAAGTGCCTGTGAAAACTAGAAAACAAACCAAGGGTTTAGCCATTTCCCTACCATTTTCACAAAGGTAGAAAAACACCCTACCCAGTTTCAGGCCCTGCTTGTGCTTGTCCATTGTTACCTACCCTTCGACCGAGGATTTGGTTGATGGCTGCACTCTCTTTCAATGTGCATTCTGCTACAACTTTTGCTCTCATTTCCTTCATATACAACATAAATGCATTAAGAGGTTTCTTTATGTGTGGCTTCTTTTTCTCTTCTTCTTTTTTGGAGTCCTGATGTTTTCTGAAGAGTAAAGATATAACAGACAGAGACCTCACAGTGAGAACCCCCTGTGAATTTATTAAATTAATCCCCTCAATCTCTCTAATATTAATCCTCAGCAATCTCTGGGAAGAGGACCAGAAGGTTCTCTAGAGCCTTCACCCTGGCTGCTGTATGGGAACAGTCTTAAAAGCATTACAAGAAAACTCACCTAACGTTTATGCAACATCACCAAGTACCCTCTGAGCCCCTTGGAACCTTGGAAGGACATGGGCTCCAGAAAAATTGAGCTCTCCACAGGAAGAGCTTGAGAATGATAGTAAATAATTACACCCCTTTATCAATGGGCTCTTGTCTTGTCTAAACTTGTTACCAGCTCCCTGCAGCTTTGAAGAAGCCATTTTTTGATTTTTGTCTCATGTGGTGCATCTGTTATCTCAAGGCTTCAAACTAGGCACTGAGTAATAGAGAAACTGGTCAAGAAGTGTGAATCTCGATCAAGAAAATTCCACTTCCTTTTGAAACAGGTGAAATTAGTAACTACTTGCCTATGTCACAGAATGACTCAAAGACTGCTACCATCATTTGGACACACTTTGGTAGCTAAACCACATTCAAATCAATTATAACAAAAAAGGAAAAAAAAATTGAAAAAATATTTCACAGCAAAAACATCATAAACCCAAGTCTTTTTACAAGCCACACATGCACAGGGGATGCTTTGAGTATCCCAAAGAGAAGAGAGGGGAAGCAACAACTTACGAGCTGTGGAGTGAGCCGACGTCGCTCTGGGAAGATTCCTGTTTGACTGTTGGTGTGACTATGGCCGGGTGAGGAATTCCAGTTGTATGTAAACTATGGTGTGGCGGGACCATGTGTGGAGGAAACCTAGAGGAGAGAAAGCTGTGTAAATTGTCAGAATAAAAATGAATGAATGGGGAGGGATGTGTACACACATTAAAAAAAAAAAAAAAACAACTGGCATATAACAAGCACATGACAGCTAGACAAAGCATATGAAAGCTGGCAGCATTAATTAGCAATAAATTAAACATAATGACTCTTCTAATGTCATTAAAGCCAATCTTCCCCTTCATTATCATTACTGACACGAGACATCATGATTTTTAACATTAACAAAAGGCGAATTCAACTGGATGAACTTGTATGAAGGTGGAATTTCAGCTACCTGAAATAAAATCCACCAGTCCATTTCTTTGCTAAGAAATTATGTGTGGCAGCCAAGGAATCAATTTTTATAGTTTTGAATCATGTTGCAAATTTAGGATGACATCTTTTATTCTATATTGACAGCAAAATAAAATATTAATGCCAACACATTCTAGGTGCATTTTTGATAATACTTATAGATGCCTCATTAGCTACATTTTGTTGATGGAGCAAAAGAAAATATTTATTTGTGTCTAATAAATCTCTGAGCCACACTGCTTTAACAGAAGGTGGAAGATTGTGGAATTTTTGATCTATTAAAGTAACCTAGAAAGGCTTTAACAGTCTAGCCTTTATAAAGAGAAAAAAATGTTGTCAGCTTTATGGTTTATGGTCATATACATGGACAGATCCCGGTCCTGCAAATGGATTCAGAGGGATATGCAATCCTTCTGCATGAATCTAATTGCTTGGTCGGGATCACAGCACAAACATGGCACAATCATTCAGACTCTTTACATTTTAACAGAAATGAACAAACTTCTTAAAAGCAGGATTGATTTATATCATTGTTTCTCAACAGTCTCAGACAGGTTTTGCAGTGAATAAGGAAAGCACAGCATGACTGACTGCCTTCCCCCTATAAGTCAACAGGTTTCCAGGGAATGGGTTCTAGCCTAAAATTATGTTTCAGAAATAACTTTTCATCAATACACCAGAATTAAAGTGATCTGGCAAGGGCTTTTCTCACTGCAAATCCCCACTCTCATCCCAGATTTTGAACAATCTGATCCAAGTAAAGTAACCCAAGATTATGGAACACTCAATGGGATAAATAATTATTTCTTCTATCATAAACATACACTGATTTTTTTCCATCCAACAGGATTTAAAATGGAGTGATATACTATGGATATCGCAGTGTGTAAGCATCAGAAATATAGTGGGGCTATCTTTTTCTCTCCCCTCTTATAAATTCCAATACGAAACTTAACAATCCCACCCCTATGACTGCCTAGACATTCTCTACATTCACAAGATGACACAGAAGTACTTTCATGAACAAGAGCACTGTCCACTACAAGCTCTGAGGATCTTTTGTCTATCAGCTGGTTGTACTCAGGATGATTAGACAGAACTATTTTGTCTTTGAAGGCAGTGGTGGGAGGAGCAAGGACTGACAGGGAGAATATGAAATTGTTCAAGTTGTAGAGAATTGCAGTTCTTCATGAACAAAGGCACGGAGAGAAGGGAGGCAGGAAGGTGGGATGGCAAGGGAAGAGGAGAATGGGCAGCAAAATGGTCATTCCTACTTCTGCTAAAGACTCACGGACACAAATCGCCAAGTGGATTGTCCAAGTGCCTTCCCACTCTCTGACAAAAGTAGCTGGGAGAGAAGCACACATTTGAGGATATACTTTGGTTCATGGTAGGTCAGAACAGAAGACAATGTCGAGGCTGCAAAGGAGACTGGCATCCTTGTCCAAGTTCTGCCACAGAACTGCTCACCATCAGCAAGACACAAACTGTGCCTTTGTATTTTTTTTCTGTTCCTTCTCTACTTCCATGTGTATGTATTGTGATTTGACATACCTAAAATTTGTTCATACAGAGCCTGGGACCTTCAGACATGGTACAATGCAAATAAAAACTGGCAGTATGAGTTGGATTTAAAAAAAAAAAAATAACTAACAAACATGATCAAAAATAAAACTGGTGGCAAAAACCTGACCTCCCTGAATGCAGTCTAAACACAGTGATAAAAGGTTGAGGCACATCCTATCAAGTGACTGCCCTAGACAAGACCCAGTGTTTCAAAGAGGACTATACTGCTGGGGCTGGCTAGGCCAGAGACAAGGGGACAGTGAAGGATGAAGATGGAGATGAAAAGCCTTCCTTCAGAGAGCAGGCAGGAAGAGCTCTGCTGGTCTGACATGAGGGCTCAGCATGGAGTGCGGTGGGCATGTACCAGCAGGGAGAAAATCTAAGTACAGAGCACAACATACACACATTGTGTGAAAGCCTGAAGGATGGCAAAGCCTCCACTGACCTCAGCTGGGATATTTTACTCACTGGGCTCTAAACTCCAGAAACAGCAGCCTTCATCAACAGACTCAGTGGTTATTTTCAGGGTTTCAGTTTCCATGAGGAAGTGCTGTGTTCATTACCAATGGCCATTCACATTTTCATACTGAAATCTGTCCAATTCACAAGGCTGTCTATTGGACTTACACACCCATTCCTATGTTTAGGGCTATAAAAACATGCTCCAGAACCCAGAGCTGCTCTCATAATCCCATGGACTTCCACTGGTGGGATGAGGGTTCAGCCCAAAATCTGAGTGCCTGCTCATTTCCATGTTGACAGCCACTCACATGGCAATATGAGCAGGGGAAGGGTGCTAATTTTTAACTTCCTGGCTACACTCCAACTTCAGTAATTACATTCAGCAAAAGTGAATTTCCCCTGAAATTTCAATTACAGAAGGTATTTTCCACTGCCACCACTTAACTGCTGTGCAGTGTTTGTCTGGTGTAATTCTGCTAAATTATTTCCTGATTTCCTCTCACAGCAGTTGTTTTTTCATAGTAGGACCACTGTTTGCCCATCACTCAGTTAGCCCTGTCTCATTTTACCTTAAAGGCATATTACAGACAGGTAATGAAGGATCAAGAGATCTTACAGGCATAGTACAAGCATACAATGTGAGTGTGGAAAGGCTACAAGCAACAACTAGGAGTAGTAAATGGTTAAAACAACCTTAAGACACTACCTTAACAGTCTAAACCATTTATGAAAAGTCACTATTAGTCACCCATTAACCTTTTATAAGCTATTCATAAGCACACTTTAACTAATAAACAGTAATTTCTAAGCTTAGGGAACTAAAGGTTGGGAAGCGCTACAGGCTCCAAAGATCCACACCATAATGCAGGTAAAGATGGGAACTACTTTTTTGAAGGAAGGCTCTGGAAAACTGTGGATGGAGGGGTGAGGTTTGAGGTCTGTGCTGACCTGGGGCACAGCCAGCACAGCAAAGGCAAGGTTTGCAGCAGGGCCCTGCAGGGCAGCTGCCCAGGGCCAGCATCTCTGGAGGTCAGCATGGGCACCACCAGGAATCTCCTGACCACACCAGACACCTGGACAAGGGCTGTCCCCCTGCTGAGGCCAGGCTGACACGGGAGAACATACATGAAATCATGTATGAGAGCACAGCTTGCCCAGAGGGTGCTCCCATCTACAGGAAACCAGAGAAGTTTCTGGTCTGAAACAAAGGGTAAACACCTTAAATCAATTCATCCCCCAGCACGTGTGCCTGAGCACGTGCACACGTACGGGCTTCTGTCAGAGACAAAAAGAAAGGCTCCCTGAGTATATGCACACCCCTCACCTTCGCCTGAGACATTCACCAGATTTTTTTTTCTCTAGACAAGTATTCCATGAATTGCAATAAACACCCTAAAAATTCTAAGCAGCTCATTATACACCACTGTCTCCTTTTATGGCTCCAAGCCAGAATATAATGATGAGTCTTAACTTGTTAAGGACAACTAATTTTTTGTTCCTGGCTGTCTCAGGGGCTTCTCTCTTACTCACTCTCACTTTACTTCACTGTTGACATGTTTCTGTTAACTGGATGTCATCTGCCTGCCTTGATTTTATGCACAAGCAGTGGGATGCATTTTTCTGTGCAACAATTCTGCTTTGAGTTGCATTAGATTTGTCATTATTCTCTCATTTTCCCCTTGCACTTGTAACATTTCATCTATTCCTGCCTTATTTTTTGAGCCACGGTGCACCCACATTATGGTTTATACATGATCTTGCTCCCTTTGAAGCCGGCAGATTTCAGAGCCAGCCCTCGTCAGGAGAAGTGCCTGCTACCAATTTAGCAGGCTGAGGGCCCCGAGCTCCAACAACTCAATCTAAAGGGGGTCACAGGGTGGCACAAGCGAGTGTCAGCAAGTGCTGTTTAATTGCCAATCTAGGCTTCTCCATGGTGTTTAAAGTATAATGACCCATCACTTAATTCTGAGAAGTCCTGGCCCTGCTGCTGAATGGAATGAATATCAAAGGATGTGCTAGAACAGGGCAAGGAGCCTACATTTCCTATAACTGCCATAAGTATAATAGACCTCTACTTCTGTCGTCCCATTACCACAATAATGTATTTAATTTGCTGTGTACTCTTTTTAACTAGATACCTTTCATAAAGTCTATCTTGGGAATATAGCCCCCCTTGCTTCCACATCTCCCCCCTCCCTCAAATGACTAGCCTCTCTAATAATAATTAAACTAAATCAAGCACTACTTTGCCTCACACCATGCCTGCAAGTCTTTTATAGATATTAAAAAAGATTAAACAGGGGGAGGGAACCATTGCTTAAATTTGCAGCTCTCTCCCCAGCCTAGTATTTTTTTCCATTCTGGAACTACACTTTTTTTTTTTTTTTTTATTTTTATTTTCCAGTTGTCTATTTGCTTTTTTTTTTTTTTATTTTAAATTCTTGGGTTTTTTGCTTACTTATCTAAAGCACACACCACACTGTTTTCCCACCCATTCATTCACGAGCCCTAGGCACAGATTTCCACTTCTCAATGAGGTGTGCTTCCCCCCATCCTCACCAGTCTTTTCCTCCTTAGATCATCTATGCACCAACGGTCACATGTTAAACTGCAGAGATGGAGAGGAAGGGACAGAGCAGGGAAGAGATGTGGAACCTTGCTATGTAATGCATGCTAATTTAATTATGTGCCATCATCAAAATGGATTAGCTGTTTCAGCCCATCAAGAAAGTCTAAACTTCCACCGATTTAATTAACCAGGCTGAAAATCAGATGAACAGAAAATAAAACTATCATTAGGAGCAATTACTGATTACTTAAACATAGTGCTGCCAACCAGTTTGTAAATAAAACTAGCAGCCCCTGGAAAATTAGATGGAATTAATTGGAGGTAGGGAGGGGGAGAAATATATACTTCTAAAGCTTTTGAGGGTCAGGCAGGCCCTTTTATGTTGACTATTAGTGTTTGGAGCTTTGGGAGGGGAAAACACAGCACAATAACCTTCCTCCCAACTCTGCTGAAGAGCAGTCCTCCTCCCTCCTGAGCCTTCCCTCCCACGCACACAGCGCTGCTCTGGCTGATGGCCACCAAGAAAGCAAAGGCTATCACAACTTCTTGCTTTTTCAACATTACATTCTCCCAGCTCTTTCATTTGGTTTGGCTTTTAAAGGTGGCTTCTCACTCCTCCACCTCTCTAAGACAAATTCTTGAGGCCCAATGACAGCATTAGGACACCACCTTCTCTTCACATGGGAAGGCAGCCCTCGCCCTCTCCTCCACCCCACCAAAAAGCTAAGGATGGATGTTTAACTAAAGTGCTTTCAGAAATCTGCTGCCTAGATGAAATGCTCTCCTCTCCTACAGAGAGTGGGAGGAGGAGCTATATTTGCTCTTGATTTAGGACCTCAGTATTTGAACTCACCTTGACATGGAAGCATTGACGGTCAGAGCTGTTGGGTAAGGGTGACGGAAACCCCCTGTTGTGATTGGGTACACTGGCTGACCTTGCCTGGCAAAAAAGAAGGGAGAGAGAGAATGAGAGAAAGGAAAAAAGGGCTTTAAAAAAAAAAAAAGAACAACAAAAAACTTCTCTCTGCACAGTAAGCTTTATTCTCATTTGATCAGAACAAAAATCTTGGGGATTGTACAGCAAGGATCAAAGGAAAGAAACACAGAACAATTTGAATGCCATAAATCTGATAGGAATGGCTAATTAAATTTTATAACCTCTGCTTATGTCAATAGAGACCCTCTCCCCAAGCTGAAACTAGGTGTTTTGTTGTAATAATTAAAGGCGAAGTCTCGCTTGCTTTAATGGAGCCATCACACTAATTGAGGGCTACACATCCAAAGGAAAACAATAATGAATGTAAATTTATACCAAAATAAAGTACAGTGAATCAAAGGACTTCAGTTGCGCTTTGGGCCTCTTTCGGTATTTAGATCTCGGTGAGAAAACATTAAATTAACAGAGCTTAATTTGTAGCCTTTTGTCAGATTAACAAGTGTTGACAAGAGTTACCGGGGGAGAGTCCCCAAGAAGTATTGTGGGTAACCAATAGACAATCACACCTCATTACAATAATTAAAAAATACAGCAACATGCAAAACAGCATCCTCATGAAAGACACACAACTTTTTCTGATGGAGGTTTGTCTGTGCTGGCTAGCTCGTTTCATCTGTCTTTCAAATACATCATCTGACTGGGCAGGATGCGTTTGGGGTGGGTACTATGCCAGAAACACGCCGGCCAGTGGAGGATAAATGGGTTGGGAAGTTGATGGTGAAGTGCAAGTGGCAAGGAGAGGGGAAATGAAAAACTTGGGTTACTTCTCTGAAGTTGGCCATGCGACTCTCCTAGAGCAAAAGCCAGTGTGATGGGGGTGTCACCCCTCAACACAAATCACTGGGAAAAGCTGTAAGAGCTGTGGTAGGCGAGCACACCATGGTGTTGACTTGTTCTGAAGCAGCAGGGACAACAGAGGTGGCCATTAGCACCTGTCTGGTGAAGCTGGCCACATATGGCATCATTCAAGTGCTCTGGCAGCCATGGCATGAGGTCCAGGAGGACAAACAAAGGTCTGCACAAATACAGACACCCACATGAGCAATGGAGTATCGGTCAGTGAAGAGTTTCTTCCCTGTGCTCTCATGTCTTTCATATCATTGACTTTTGGCACTACCTGAGTGTATTTGTTTCAAATGTTGAGAATGTTCTTTGAGCTAAGGAGCTCCATGCAGTCTACAATTGTTCAGGGTGTCCTTTGGAAAACATAAATCACCATAAACGAGGAGGAATTTCAGATTTCAGGGAGCAATGCTTTGGATTTTTCTTCTGCTCATGATGTGCTCTTCTGGAGAAGCAACATTCAGCAGAGGTGATGGACATGCTCCACCCTCGGGGTGGGAGAACCTCTACCCAAAATAGCTGCATGACCTCCCAGAAGGAAGGGCAACCTGCAAAATGGCCAGAAGCTCCACCTCTCCTGCAACAACACTTTTATGCTTGAGAAAGGCCTCCAAGGCCTCTGATGCCACCACCTCTCCTTGTGACCTCCTGCCCTGCCCTGCTCTCCTATGTGCTGTTAAATCCAGTTCCTCATGGAGGAACTTGTGGAGAGGAATTTCAGTACAACTGGCCAAACAACCTCAAGCAGGAGCAAACTACTTTGAACTTTTGGCAATTCATTTCTATAAAAAATATGATCACCCCAAAATAGTGGAGGCCTATTACACGAGAAAAACAGAGTAACAGTCTTGATTTATAATGTAGAGGACTGTTGTATCCAGCAATACAAAATTATTTTATAAACATTTATATCAAATATACTACACAAAAGGCTTAGGCAGTGCTTAAGTGTATTATAAACCTATTGAGAGGTGGCAACATAAGAAAAAAAAGAAAATAAGGACTCAATTACTGCTGGAAACCTCATAGCCAGCAAGGCTCTGCAAGTGGGATCTGAGATGTTGAAAATAAAACAAAACCCCAAACTAACTTTCCATTGCCTTTTTCTTAGCCAGTTTTAAAGTAAACTAATTCCTTTTTCTTGTTTAAAATTCCATTCCTCAGATGCCAACTGCCAACTGCCCAGCTGCATCTCAACTAGGAATGCTGCTCACTGGCCTATGTAAAGCTCTACTGTTTCATAAGAAAAACAATAGGGTTTTCAATAGATAAGGCAAATGAAATTTAAAATTGCAAATTTGTAGTGAGGATGGCCCTAGTGAAAAAAAAAAAGGGTCTGTGAGAACCACCCTGAACCCCTAGAAAACCAAATCCAAGAAAAACTTATGTGGTGCAGTGTAAGGGCAAGAACAAGGAAAGGACATTTCTGCAGAAGGGTTTAAAAATTCATGCTTCATGGGCTGTCAGCTGGTTGGGATGACACGCAAAGCTGTGTCTAACTGCTCAAGTTTGTTTATGACCACATGACCTGGCATATATTTTAATTAACCTTCATGAGGTGGGTAAATTCATAACACTCACTGAAGTGGCAGTTGGCAAACAAACTCATCCCAATACATGCACACACACACACACACACACACACACACACACACACACACACACACACGAACATATATATTTTTATGAAAGTTTTACACATCAAAAAAAGAAAAAAAGAAATTAAAAAAATGGAACTCCTTACTGTGGTACTAACCATCCTAGCGGATGGGGGATTTGTCCTACAGTGCCTGGTGATAATGGATAATAAGGAGATATATCTGGAGGATGTGGAGGCCTTGGAATTCCTATAGAAAAGGAACATAAAGCAGCGTCAGTACTGAAATGTGGAAATAAATAAAATATAAAGAAAAAAATGCCTATGTTTCTAAATCTCTGTCAACTTACTTTTATTAAAGTATTTGTGCCTTCACTTAGAGTTTTCAAAGGCTTTTTCACATTCTCATTTTTTAAACAAGAAAGAATGATGTTATTCACTCCCTCAGTCACCTCTCCAGTCAGAGATAACTATTTTCGTTATTTAAAATTCAGCAGTCTCAGATACAATTTTGGTGTGATGCTATACTAGATATTCTCTTAAATGTTCAACACAAAGATGCACTCTGCAACAACCTCATGGTTGTTTTAGTTTCAAAGTCAGCCAAAAGACCACATGCCCTACCCATGTGGTGACTGGGTACTCAATAACATGGCAGTATTCCAAAGTAATCTCAAGAACAAGTTTAAAAGTCGTTAAAATTGCAAATAATGTTTGCTTTTAAGCAAACCTAGGAAAGCTTTTGTGAAACCAGGAGTGGAGGTGAGGGCCCCTGGAAATGTTTGGTAAAACCAGGGGCAGATGTTGAAGGTGTGCAGGGGAGGATAGAGAGCTCACCCATCCTCTCTGGATGAGGTACAGCTCCTACTCAGAAAGCAGAAACCAGCTCCAGACACAAGCCTTAAATATGAATGCTCCTTACCTTAAGAGCAAATAGGAATTACTCAGAGGAGTAAGGGTTACAAAGCTGGGTCTTTCAATTAACAAGCCATGGCACAATTACACAGCAGAAGCAAAATTAAAACAGAGAGCATTAGAAAGAAGGGGTACGTATTCAGGGCTAAAAATTATTTTTTTAAGTCACTTGGGAAGCTTTTAATGTCTAAATTAAATCTCCTTGTGTGACATTTTCATGCAGACATAGCTTTTTCTCCATTACAAAACCCAAACAGATTAACTGGGCTTTAACCATCCAGTGAGCTATTTGCACACTTGAAAGAATGTTCACAGAAGAAAAGTAAACAGTCTACAGACGTTAATCATATGTTTTACGATAGCCATTTAAAAGCTATTCCCTGTACTACCATTATTTAAATGAGAGGTTGACTATGCCATTCACTTGCAATACCCAGGGATGGTGAGATGGATTCCTTTCAAGCCATGTGAAGTCAGCATTAAGCACAATTAAAAGGGGGCCCCAGTTGAAGCATATCAGGTGACAACCAGCTAATGCACAGTCTCATTCAAGGGCTGGAGTTTAGATAAATTATCTGCATAAGTTAGGGCTGACACAGAGTGATTCCTTTGACATTAATTCTGTTTCTGATGAACTTCCCAATTAACTAAATGGGGTTTGGATTAACAAAACCAAAAACCACTGTCACTAGGAATTCAGTACAGCCTGGAGAAATAAGATTGACACTGTTTGACTTCTTTGGGACCTCAGGTTAAAAAGGGACTCTTAAAAAGTTAGAATAACATGTAAATTCTACTCTGTAACACCAATAAATCTAGTCAGGATTTTACGTGGTGCTCTATATTCAAACAGAGTGCCCTTCAGGCTGAACTTAGAGTTGGGTAGACTTACATTGGGGAAAAGAGTTGCAAGTGTAAAGCTGGAGCTAAGTAGTTACAGTGGATGAAAATTCAACATTACAGAAGAAAAATGGCTGAACTCCTGACACAGAAACAATGGGATTTGGGGAATTAAAAGAGATTCATTTTGAAACCGGTCATGACCCACCACCTTTAAAATTCCAGCTGCAATTTTGTAAGTGCAGATCACAGAATGTACATGTTTAATTCTCTGGGTCATGCATGCAAACCAAGCACTGGTAGATTGAACTACCAGGTGGGGTATCATGCTTGGAAAGAAACACTCCTGCAAGCGACCCCACACATGCAACTCTGGTGTCACCCTGCAGAAGCTCTATGAAAATTCACCCAGTAGGTTTCCTTCTGAAGTCTAATTGGCTTAAAAAGAAAGTATTTTATCTGGGTTTGACATTTTACATGCCCCCTTTGGTGCTCCAGCATGGGAAATCCATTTTCCTGCACTCGTCTCCCCCGATGCGCAAAAAGGAAGATCCACCCACTCTCAAAAGAAGCCCCAAAATACTTCCCACCTACCTGTTTTGGGATCTACGTCAGCTGGTAAGTGTGGAGGAGGGTTTCCTGGTGTGAAGTGCTCATTGCTGTATGTGATAAGCGGCGTAAGAGGGTGTACATGGTGTGGGTGCTGCACAACTGGCACTTTGTTAGACTGTCAAGAGAAAAAGGTTGACACTGTTAGAGCAGTGCTGGGCATCCCCCCACTACAGCATGAGGTATGACATACAAAAATCTGAGTAGCCAGGATTTCAGTGTGATCCTCAGAGTTTTCCAGATTCCTTCTTGGTGTCACCCTTGCAGTTTTCCCACCCTCTTGCTTAAAACCTCCTCACACACTCTCTCTGCTGTTGAGGTTCTTTAATCTTTTTGACCTGTCATGCTCCTGTACGGAGCAACAGCAATTCTTTAAAATTTTTCCTTTCTATTTTATAATCTTGTGCTTCACCTCCAAGATGCAGGCAGACTCCTCAGTGAGGGGCTGAGAGAGTCCCCCATTTAATTAGCAAGAGACCCAAATGCTCACTGACCTGTAGGTCTTTTCCTTTCCCTTTCCTGTCCTCAGTCTCAGTTCTGCATTTTACTGCTCATTGCAAATACTCCAGATAAAAAGCCTTTGTAGTGCTGGAGTATTCCCTTCATCAGCAAGCATTAAGCTGACAAGCGATCACCTGCATATTTTATATATATATTTTAGAAGAGCTGATTAATTATCAATTCATCAGAGAGCATTAATAAATGGAAACTGGATACTGATTAATTAGGCTACTAAAATATTCAGCTATATAAATAATGGCAAAACCCCCCAGATAAAGCCATTGAAATTAACACTCTTGTAGGGGGAATAATCACGTAGATATCATGAGGTTTTCCTCATCACATTCCTAGCTCTGGGGAAAAAAAATTATTTTTCTCAACAACAATTTTTAAAAAAATGTAAAAAGGAGTGAATGAATGAAAGAAAAAGGCAGGCTGAACTGTAACTTACCCTTACAAGATCACAAAGAAAAAATTAAGCTGAAACCAGCTGAACCGCTGGACCATTTACTGCGAGTAATCCAATTGCAAAAAACCCTATTCCCCATAGAGGATTTTCACTAAAATCCTACAACAGGGACATTTAACCAGATTAGGTACCAGCAAAGATAAAGAGGCTGGTATTAGATGATGAATGGATTAGAGTCAGGTTTCATTTTAGAATGTGTCTTCATTTCCTTTTATTACTTTAAGTAAGGAACAACTTGCATTAACATCAAGTAAAAGGAATCACATTAAAATAAAGTAGTGATACCATGGTGGCTGCGATAGCGCCGCTGCTGTTCAGGGCCTGCCAGCACTCTCCTGTCACCCTCCTGCTCCAGGATGGCTCCAAGCCCACTGCTCATTCCCCAGCACCCCCAAACACATGCACACACCCTCACCGTGTCTAAGCCACCTTAGACAAGCTATTGCTATTATCTGATCTGGCTTCCAATGCCCTGAGCTTCCCTTAAAAGCATTTCAAAATAATTCAGTTATTCTTTGGGAATGAGCTTCTACTATGAGGAAGGAAGAGGGATGACAAACTGGGAGCAAGAAGGAAAAGAAACATCTGTCTTCCCTCAATAAACAAGAAATCTCTCCATCATGCTTTGGCCAAATGAAGCCCCTTTGGCTCCCCCAGCACTTGCCATAAGTGGCTATTTGGGCTAACTGCTTTCATAACTGCAGAAAAAACTGTGCATCCAAAACAAGCCAGCCAAGAGCTGTACCTGTGCTTCCCACACCTTCTCCTGTGTTCTTCACCATGTTCATCTCTTTCTGCCACCCTTAAACAGGATGATTCCTCTCCACCACCAAGCACTCGGCACAGGGGATCTCCCCTGTCAAGTGGCCACCACACAGGAAAGAACGTGGTCACAACAGCCAGTGCAATGATTAACAGCACGTTGTGTTGCTGGGTTGTGGGTCAGATCTGCCAGCTGAACAGCCAAGGACAACTTCTGGCCACACAGATCCATAATGGTTTCATATAAGGAGGAGATATGAGGATTTGGCTCTCCAGTTCAAAAAGTCAAAGGAGATGCTCTAACCCAAATCTGTTCAAGTGAACCAACCTAAGCAGTCCAAAAGTAACTGAAAGCTTTGGTAGGGGTTTCACCTAACAAATTATATTTCACACCACACAAAGTAGCTGGCATCTACTCAACAACACATGACATTACAAGCCAAATGACCAGTTGATGGGGTTCACAAAAATGATCATTTCCAATAAGAGCTATTTTTTTCTGGACAAGAATTGTGTGAACGCCTGCTGTTAGGTGACCCACAGTGTGGTCCCATTTATTGAAGAAGTTAATACATGCTGTAGCTTTGTGCTCTCCCAACTCTATCTTCACAACATTGTAAACCTCACCCAGACCCTGACAGACATTAAGTGCTGTCTTCCACAGAGAGCTTATTTTCACAGAAACTGGAGCTGGTTAGTTAAAAAAATAAGTAGAATAACATTAGAGGGTCAGACTTAAGCCGACAAACAAGAAACAACACGTGAGAGGAAAGCTGGACTGACATGGCTCCATCACCAAAGCCAAATGTACCATAGGGGGTGACATGTAAACTGTGGGACACCACCACTCCTTGCTTTGATATACCAAGACCGCCCGCAATATCTCCACAAAACAGAACAACTGCTAAATTATTATGTATTGCACTTAAACATGTTTCTGAGACAAATAAAAAGCAAAAGGAAAAAAAAAAATCGACAACTAAGAGTTTGAACCTTAAGTCTGTAATTTTTTCCCCTGGTAAGTAGTTTTTGTTTAGGCTACTACCATGCACTCAAATGAACCACTCATATAAATGTGCCACTCTGATGATGCTGGGGCAGAGGTGGGGGGAGAATGTACCAGGAGAAAGGAAGAAACTGTCAAAACATGGTCAAAAATATGCTCTCTGGGACAGAGGAGTGTGAGCCACTTCCCAGGGAGTCGGTCTGCATCTGTACCACTACCCAGGGACAGGTTTCCACTCTGTTTTTCACTGTTTAGCACACACTGGGGAAAGGAACCATAACTCCCCTCAGAACAGCAAACACAATTTGCAAGCCAAGCTAAACATCTGTAATATGCTAAACAAGCTGCTCTTTAAAAGTACTGTTCCTGAAGTTAACTAAGCTTCATTGGAAAAGAAAAATAAAGGGCTATCTGGGAAAGAGCAGGATTAATCCTGCAGATGCATCTTCCTTTGAAGTCAATGGGAGCTCTGCCTGAGTAACAAGTGTGGTCCTAACCCCATCCACTGGCAATGAAAGGTAAACCACAGAAGCCATCAATAGGAGACACCCATTAGATGACTTTAGACATCCCCCTGCAAAAGGCAGTATTTTCCAATATACATTTGTGAGCACTTTATCAAGGGCACTTTTAAGCTAAGAGCCATTGTGAGATGCAGGCGTTTCTCTTGCAAGCTGAAGAGTTCCATTTATGGCTCTGCCAGGCATGGGAAGGGGAACTGCCCTGGTACACACAGATTAGCATCAGGACATGTGGTAACAGGACAGGAACAAGTGGAGATTTCTCAAGAGGAATCCCCGCACCTAAGAAGTACCAAGCCCTCTGCTGATAAATCACCCCTCTCCACCGAAAGCTGAGGTCTCATATGCTAGGTTAGAGGTCATGCTAAAGAGCTGCAAAAAGACAAAAGAAGTTTGCTTTTTCTTGGTTAACTGCTGCCTGAAGCAACCAGAAGAAATTGTCCCCATAGGGGTTCTACTACTAAACATCCCTACGTGAATTTGAAATGCTTCTGGGAGTGCTTAAACACAGATCAGTTTAAACAATAATGGAGCTCTAGAACAAAAAAAAAAAAAAAAAATTCCACACCAAAACCACAACAAATTTTGGACTGATTAATGTTTGAAAGGAGTACTGAGATCCATATAGACTAATTTCTGATAGGTGCCTTTAGGGAACAGAAAAAGGTATCTTAACTTCAGATTTAAACTGCAGGGGATTGTGTGTATAAATTGCTGTGTATTAGTCTTTGTTGCATGGTAAGGACATTTCATTAACAGGATGAAAGATGCTTCTATGCGTATACAGCCCAATTTAATACACCCCACTGATGAATACTCCCCATTTATTGAATAAGTTAATACATGCTGTATAAATCAATAGTTCCTAAGTCTCTGAAAGCAACATAGGACTTGCACAAGATGAAACATTGTATTGTTGAGCACACAAAAGAGAAACCAACCTCTAAACAGGAAGAGTTTACTACTGCAATTTCTGCTTGCAAATTCATGGCTTTGGTAAAAAAAAAACAGTAGCATATCAACTCTAAGTCAGAAAAAATCATGCCAGAGACACCAGAGGATGCCCTCACCAGGATAACATGGGGCTAGTAAAAGCAGGTCTGCACAAAAAGCCACCCAGGCTGAAAACAAGCCACCATGCCATGGCAGCATCGCAGCGGCCAAAGCCTTCAGCCTCTGACTCCTTTCCAGCACATCCCGAGGGCAGGGATGCTCCTGCCCCAGCCCAGCCTGCAACTCCAGTAGCTGCACCCCTTTCCCTGACCTGGGTGGCCTCTGAAATATCCTGCAAGCCCTGCCTGTGAGGCAGGGAGGTGCTGCAGCCCCCCGGGAGCCCCTCAACACCCCACAACCAGGAGGGACGGAGCAGGTGCTCGCAGCCGGACCCCCGGAGCCCTGGCCCCTTCCTCCACCATCAGAGGAATGAGAGCTCTCCATCCTCCTTAAAACCTATTAACCAAGAGACACCGAAAACAAATGGAGCTAGAGCTCCGCCTGTCTTTTTGCCATGTCCTCCTCTTCCCCACTTCCTTTTCTGCTGAAGAGAGATGGGCCCTGGAAGTGCCTTTATGAGCCAATACAATACAATAAAACAAAAGCAGCACAGAAGAGGGTTTGTCAGCCTTCTCCCCTCCTCCAGGGTGGATGCAGGTCAGCAGTGGTCTTGAATTAGCAGGCCCTCCTGGAGTTGCTCCCTGGGCTTAGCAAGAAGTACCATTCAATACCAGTTCACATTAAAAAATAGGTTTCTCTGTCTTTTCCAGATGATGTTATTGCAGTTATGCTGACTGTGAACAGTGAAATGCTAAAGATGCTCCTGAACTGCTCTGCAATTCCAAAGATGCTTATAAAAGGAGGGC